CATCTTCCCACTCCCCAGCTACTCTGCGTACTAAAGTTGTACTACCAAGTCGCCACTTCTCAGCTTCCAGCTCCACAGATTACTCCGCGTACTAAAGTTGTACTACGCAGTCGCCAGTTCTCAGCTTCCAGCTCCACAGATTGCTCCGCGTACTAAAGTTGTACTACACAGTGGCCAGTGCTCATCTCCCAGCTCCCCAGATACTCCACGCCCTCAAGTTGTACTACCCACTCGCCAGTTCTCATCTTCCCGCTCCCCAGCTACTCCGCGCACTACTCTCGCACCACCACGTCGCCAGTTCTCAGCTTCCAGCTCCCCAGCTACTCTGCGTACTAGAGCTGCGTACCAAATCGCACTCTCGCCTGCATTTCGCGCACTCGACACGCACAATCTCCGCAGAGGGTTGCGCGCGCAGCCGGCAAATCGCACTCTCGCCTGCATTTCGCGCACTCGACACGCACGATCTCCGCAGAGGGTTGCGCGGGCACCCGGCACATCGCACTCTCGCCTGCATTTCGCGCACTCCACACGCACGATCTCCGCAGAGGGTTGCGCCCGGCACATCGCACTCTCACCTGCATTTCGCGCACTCGACACGCACGATCTCCGCAGAGGGTTGCGCTTTCGGTTGACGCTGTTCGTCCCACCCTCCGCCTTTAAGAGAGAATTTATAAAGTGGGGAAATGTTTTTTCATTAGGACATCTCCCGTGCTAGTTCACTTGCCTACTCATTGCATGCTTGCATACTCATTGCATGCATACTCATACCCGTGCTTACACTTGCATACTTCCACTTGCATACTTTGACAGCTTTCGCTCTCCCACTTACACAGCTACGTATAGCGTTCATGTTATTTATCCTGCCAGTGTGGTGAAAGTGTCAATGTCTAGGTGTGTCTGAGTGTAAGTGTCGAAGTGTCAGTGTTCAAAGGATTTTCCGGAAGAACCCTTCGCAATGCTTTCGGGAAAAAGGCATGACTAGCTGGCACTCCAGGGGTTCCACGAGGTCAGTTTCATGCACATCTGAGTTTGTTTGCAGCATTTGAGCCACTCAACGACAAGCCCAAAGAGCAATGGAGGGACCCACAAGGATGAAATCGGTATCACCACTGCCTGGCTATGCAATCAACATCTAAGACCCTCCAACTTCCAATTCTTTGAGGCACCCTGCTGGTTGCCGGGCTGGCTCTGGTCATGGCGAGTCAAGCCAGTCCCCTCAAGAGTCTGGGAACTGCGGAGGGTGACATGCGGAAGTTTGCATCACCCAGGATATCGAGGAACAAGAAGCTACTAGTAGCAAGGAACTACTAGTAGCAAGAGAGCTACTAGGTGGACCATCGCTATTAGATTGGAGGCCATTACTAGTAACTAGTAACAAGAATCTACTAGGGTGGAGGCCATCGCAAGTAGATTGGAGGCCATCGCTATCAGGAACAAGAAGCCCGTTCTTCACTCCATCGGTCGATCGACGGCGGAGAAACAATCGAGCTTTGCAGCTGAGACTCAGACATGCCGCTCAAGATATGAGGGCGTGAGTTACTTGATGCATGGCTGTAGGAAGTCTCCACAGGACAGTCGGCACGATTACTGCAATGCATCGTTTTCTCTTAGCTGGTCTCTTGAAAAGTCTTCCCGCTTGCGCCAAAGTAACTCTCAACATCTCTGAATAAGAATCATCCTTTCAGAGTCTTAATTCGCCCCAAAGATTCCGGCTTCATGCTGGTGCCATGGGTTGGTGCTTGGCGTGCTGGCCTGACTGAGGCGCAGGGCCAAGGGCAGATTCAAACCCAAGACCAGCTCGAACCTGAAAACAGGAGATTGTCACACCTCAGCCCAGTTCGAGACTTTTTCGGTGTCTTGACCAAACGGATAGGGAAAGAACCCCACATTCCAAAGCTGCTGGATGGGCCGATGGGCTCCCGTGCGGAACGCGCCCGGTGTGGAACCCGCCCCAGGCGAGTCATGGGCGGCACGGCTTCCACGGAAGCCGAGTCCACGAGGCGGGGGCGGGCACATCGGAAGGCACGGGGGCAGGTGGCGCGGTGGCGCGGGCGCAGAAGCAGCAGGAACATCAGCGGCATTGATTTGGACTTCTTGGTGACAAGCAGGATGAGATAATTCGAATTATATAGACACTAGACAAGTAAAGTCATGTGAAATTCTCTCCATCGTTTATGTGCCACACAAGATCCTCGTCGCTTCCTGTTTTCCAAGACAAAGACGGGCCCGGAACCGAGTGAAGCTCGAAACTCGCTTTGGGAAGAGCACCTGCTGGTTTGGATGGATTAGGTGCACAGATTTTCTCCTCCTCCGATGGGAGGGGTTGAGCAATCCTTAGAATCCATTGCTCCGTCCTGTATGTGTACTACTCGTACTACTTTGCTGATGCAACATGAGTACACAGATCCATCGGAATGCCCGCTCCAAAAAACACATGAGCATCAGTATCAGTATATATGCTACGAGTCACACGTCACACGAAGCGAAGTGCTGAGAGGACAAAGGAGAAGAGCAAGAAGAAAAAGAAGAAGGAGCATCAGATGGGCATTGAGCATGGTTGGTCTTTGGAAGATGCGTCAGTGTATGGTTTCATTGATGTATTTTGATGAATTGGATCATTTCAGGATTGAATAGACTTGAATAGACCAACACAATGTGCGTGTGATAGAGTTGAATGAACAATGACCATATATATATAGAGTTATATATATACATACATATATACAATTCAATGCAATTATGATCTTGATTCAGTTATGCATGTCATCATGCTTGTGTATTGAACATGCAATGCAATTCAACAATATCTATGGGTTCTTCCTGTCATGAATGCCTCAGAGTTTCCCTATGGGATGGGTGCGGGCCATTTGTTCTGGTGGATCGACGACGGAATTCTCGATGTCGTTAAGTGGTTCTTCACGTCTTCAAGAACTGCCAGATTTACGAGGTGCCAGGAGGAAGAATGACGTGATGACAAGTGATGACCAAGTTCCACTGGGTCCAGGATGCAAAGCATGATGCTGATGCGCCTGCAATTAGACTGAGAGGCACCCGATGTGTTTGACGAGTTTGGTTAATGCTGTATTTTTTGAAAGGCAAATCTGAGGGACGGTACACCTTGCCACCGCAGCTTGCCACCGCGCGTTGGTTTTGTGCCGCCGACAGACTCATCCCCCCCAGGAGCAGCCGCAGGATGACAAAGATCTCATCGGTGCTGACGACACCACGCGGGATGCTCCGTTTGAGCAGGCGGAATGGGCCAAAAAGATATGGGAGCAGAATTTGACTCTCAAATCCGACGATGTTGCAAGAACATGCCAGGAGTCACAAAGGGTGGTTTTTAGATGTTTTTAGTCCCTAAGTGAGTGGATGTTCTGGGCACCCCGACTTCCTCCAAGTTCGCCCTTTTTGTGACGCCCTGGTGCATAGAAACGGTGCGAGTGCTGGCACCTTCAAACTTCTGGATCTCCAGCTACGCATTCTTGAAAGGTCGAGAGCAACCCAGTGGCCCGGACCCAGCTCTCACATACAAACACCCAGGCTTTTCCGCTAGGGAAAACCGGGGGTGCTCGCTGGTTGGTGGGGCAACACCGATCCCTTGGTGCCCCCCCTTCGCTCGCTCCGCGCGATCCGCGCTGCGCCGCGCCGCGCTGCCGACGGATCCGACGGGATCCGATCCACCCGAGTGGCCGATCCTTCGGCCTGGTGCTCCGTAGCGCCGGAGTCTGCCCTGGGGCTTCTTCCCCTTCCAGAAACCCTAGAAGTCCAAGGACTACATTTGGACGGACCGAAGTAAAGGAAATTCCTGTTCGGGTCGCCTAGTCAGACCATTCTCTTTATAGTCTTTGACTCCTGGTGGACCGCCGGCTCTCCGGGCTCTGCTTCCCGGCTCTGCTTCTCTCCACCGCAGGGCGCGACGACGAGCCACGAGGAGTGGCCACCGGGAGAGCCGCCCTCGACGGTCGAGAGGCGGGTCGAGGGGCCAAAGGGACGATGGCAACGGGTCGAGAGGTCCGGTGGGTTGGCATCGACATCAGGGGGGGTTTGGCACAGTAAGTAGGTGGAATCGCAAGGGTAGACATTCAATGTCAAAATCTTTGATGCTGGTCATTTATGTCGTTCTTTTGCTTGCAGCAATGTGTGGGGGTTTAGGTTTGCACCTTGGCAAGGCTTATGAGCCTTCTTCATACTTCTTTATTTGTTGGCTGGGAGTGACTTTGGCTTGGAAATGCAAGAGAGGGCCCCACACCGTAGTCACTCTTTGCAAAAAGCGGCCACCGTGCCTGGTTGCGAGAGGTTGCAGAACTCAGGGGCCCTTCAGCCTCAGCCCTGTTCGAGGTGGAAAGTGCTTAGATCTGCCAGATCTTTGCATCCCAAACATCCCTAGACTGAAAGAAGCCGGTGGCGCCTCACAGGCCGCCGACCTGGCCCGACTTGGCCGCAGAACCCACGATGCCCATCGACGATACGTCGCCTGGTCCGCGGGGCGTTCCAGAGCCCGGCGGGACGCCTCGGCAGCCGGAGCAGCGGTCCTTCGGCATCTTTGGGGCGATGCCGGGGCAGAGCAGCAGGCTGGCGGAGGGGTGTTTGGGAACGGGTTGAGGACATTTGGTGAAGTTGGGGTATATGATATGTGTATATTCTAATATGTATGTTATGTTATGTTATGTTATGTTATGTTATGTCATGTCATGTCATGTCATGTCATGTCATGTCATGTCATGTCAT